CCACGGCGGCAGCTACTGCCAGGGCCAGAGAGCCAAGTACCAGTCCTGCCACACCCAGGAGTGCCCGCCCGATGGTAAGGATGGCAGTGCCCCAGTGCCTGCTCAGCTCCCAGCCCTGCTGCTCCAGAGCGCGCTACAGGGATTGCTCTGCTCGCCTTTGGATATCCATGTCTAGGGGAGCAACAGCTTCCTGCTGGGGGCTGTGACCTGCTGTGAGTGATGGAAGGAGTGTGGGGTCCCTCCTTCGTGACATTCCTCCCCTTTTGCACCCTCACTGCATGTTCTCCCTATCCTAACCTCACTGCCACATCTCTGTGATGGCCAGGAACTGGAGTTCCTGCCAGCTTCCCATGGATTCTGGGCCATGTTTCACCTTTCCTTTCAGGGAAAAGCTTTCGGGAGCAGCAGTGTGAGAAGTACAACAGCTACAACTTCACTGACCTGGAAGGGAATCACTTGGAGTGGGTTCCCAAGTACGCCGGAGTGTCCCCCCGAGACAGATGCAAACTCTTCTGCCGAGCCCGAGGGAGGAGTGAATTCAAAGTCTTTGAGGCCAAAGTAAGATTCCTGGAGATGGGAATGTCCAAAGATAGATTCCTGGTGATGGGAATCTCCAAAGTAAGATTCCTGGTGATGGGAATCACCAAAGTAAAATTCCTGGAGATGGGAATCTCCAAAGTAAGATTCCTGGTGATGGGAATCACCAAAGTAAAATTCCTGGAGATGGGAATATCTACAGATTCCTGGAGATGGGAATCACCAAAGTAAGATTCTTTTAGATGAGAATCTCCGTAGTAAGATTCGTGGAGATGGGAGTCTCCAAAGATAGGTTCCTGGTGATGGGAATCACCAAAGATTCCTTGAGATGGGAATCTTCAAAGAATCCTTGAGATGGGAATCACCAAAGTGAGATTCGTGGAGATGGGAATCACCAAAGATTCCTGGAGATGGGAATCTCCAAAGAAAGATTCCTGGAATTGGGAATCTTCAAAGTAAGACTTCTTGTGATGGGAATCTCCAGAGATAGATTCCTGGTGATGAGAATGACCAAAGTAAGATCCCTTTAGATGGGAATCACCAAAGTAAGATTCCTGGAGATGGGAATCCCTCCTGTTCCCCATGTCAGAGCTCATGCCTGGTTCCTCCTGTGCATCCCCTTTCCCAGGTGATCGATGGCACGCTGTGTGGCCCAGAGACCCTCTCCATCTGTGTGCACGGGCAGTGCATCAAGGCTGGCTGTGACCACGTCATTGGCTCCTCCAAGAAGCTGGACAAGTGTGGGGTGTGTGGTGGCAATGGCTCCACGTGCAGGAAAATATCCGGCTCGCTCAACAGATCCAGGTGAGGCACCAGGGAGAGGGTTCTGCAGGGATGGGCTGTGGGAGGAACACCAGCATCCTCTCTCAGCCCCCTTTTCTATCACTAAACTTGTAGGCTTGGAACACATTAGGATCCAAGCCAGCATCCTCAGCTGGCTGGCATTGCAAGAGCCTGGGCTCCTCCCCAGATTCCGGGACTTAAACTCAATTTATTTTGGGGCAGAATTATGCAGGTCAAGTAGAACTTATTTCCTAAAATAATAACTGATGTGACGGGCTCGGTGCACCACTGCAAATAAATCTGCCCCAACGAGTTTACAAAACACATTTCACACCAGAGCACTGAGTTGGACACATATTCAAGGGCTGATTGTGATATAAATGTTCAATAGCTTTTCCCTGGGCTTTGGGTGAATTTGAATGCTGGGACAAGGGCACTGGGGCAGTCACTTCCCTCACCCAACAGATTTGGGAATTCTGCTTCGCCAGACAGCAGAATTTAAGGCTTTTGTTGGAAAACCATAACAAAAGCTCAACCATCCAGTTCCATGCAGCGAGGTGACTCACACAGTCAAATTAGATTTCCTAAATGGTTTCCTTCCAGGGAACAGCTGAAACGGGGCTTCCACTCTCCTATGAGTTGTTTGTGGTTGACTAAATGGAGATTAGCACAGGAGCTGCAGCCAAGAAGAGATCCCATTAAGATCAGGGTGAGGGAGGCCAGGGTGACGGAGAGCAGAGTTTGACTCAAAGGCTTTTTCTCCAAAATACTCTGAACCCAATTACTGACCGCAGCATCCACCATGGGGATCCATGGACAATGATCCTGTGCTGGCCCCACAGTGTGAGTCACAGTGCTGAGGGCTCAATGAAACCTTCCACGTGCTGTCCTGGGAGCCCTGGTGCTCCAGGGATAGGCTTTGGATGGCTCTGCAGGAAAACGTTTCCCTGGCATGGGAATGTCCTCTGTATCCTGCAATGGGATTAGTTCTGCATTGTAGTGGTGACTGCAAAACCCTTCAAAAAGTGAGCTGGGAGTGCAGACACTCCCTCCTCTTCTGTTGTTCTACATCTGTATCTGTACCTACATCTATATCAACTCTATATTATCTCTGTCAATAGGTGATGTCACCCTTCAGCATAACCAGTGACAGGCTTTCAATCCCAAACACTTCACCATTTCCAAATATAGGGAGCAAGGGGAATTTCCCACCTAGGCTGGTGATCACAGAGCCATTCATTTGAATGCATCACTCATTTTCTATGGAATTCAGAGAAACCTTCCAGCTGAGCTCGCACCTAGAACATCTGCAATATTTCTAACTCTTGAGTGCTTGGGGTTACAGAGGGATGGCTTCAGAGCCAGGATCCTGAGTGTTGGGGAAGATGNGTCAGCTCATCATGGGTTGTTCTTGCTGCTGCTCTGGGAGAGGAGTCAGAGTTCTGCTGCTCCAGCGTGAGGTCCCTCCCATGGGAGACAATTTTCCATTAATTTCTCCATGAGTCCTTCCCATGGACACATTCTCCACAAACTACTGCAACATGGGTCACTCTTCCACAGGGTCAATCCTTCAGGACAGGCTGCTCCACTGTGGGTCTTCCAGCATGGGTTCCCCTCTCCACAGGTCCTGCACCAGCTCAGGTTTCCCACAGGGTCACAGCCTCTTTCAGGCCTCCCCCTGTTCTGGCCTGGGTTCCTCCATGGGCTGCAGGGGGATCTCTGCACCCCCATGCCCTCCAAGGGCTGCAGGGACAAAGCTGCCTCACCGTGGGCTTCCCCACAGAATTTTGGGGAAATCTCAGCTCCAGTACCTGGAGGAATCCTTGCCTTTCCTCCTGCACTGCAGAGCTGTTCCTCTTACATTGTCACTCCTCTCTTCTCTGCCTAATTACATTTGCCTAATAACTTTTTTTTCTTCTTCTTAAATACGTTATCCCCAAGGTTAACAGCACATCTGCTGGGCTCCGCCTTGGCCAGTGGTGGGTCCATCCTGGAGCTGGTGTTGGCTCTGCTGGACACAGCAGGAGCTTCTGGCAGCTGCTCACAGAAGCCACCCCTGTATCCCCCTCCACAAAGCCAATACAGCTGGGCTGGGGCTTGACCCTTTGGGATTTCCAAATCTCTGACCCCACCCCTGCTGTCTCTTTGGTTTTGGATTGGGCTGATTTATTTCTGAATGTTTCTCCTTTGTTAATATTTATTACTGGCGAGTCCAGCTCATAGACAAAAGTCTGCTACTGAGCCATGGGCTGGTCTGAACCAAAACAAGCAGTGCAGATCTGCAATTAAATCATGACTTTTTGCCCTTCTGGGGAAATTAGCAGCAGTTTCAGAGTCAGTCAGCAAAGAACTCAAAGCCCAGCTTAACTTAAGCATGTGAACAGACTGGTGGAAGTCAGTACTAACTTTGTATGAATGCCAAAGTGCTTTTCTGGATCAGGGCTGGGGGAGATTTTAGCATTGCTCCAGCCCTGAGCTCGCCCTGGGAGGGAGCAGCTGGGCATGGGCAGGCTCAGGGCTGGGCTCAGCAGCTTCTTCTGTATTGGAATAATACCAATATAGCCAGATAGGATGTGCCTGGGCTTGTCTGGCCCTGCTGCTTGACCAAAAGGCAGCAACTGTGGTGATTTCACCCCACAGACACTTTGGGCCGGCTGGGTGTGTGGTGTTTCACCCCACAGACACTTTGGGCTGGCTGGGTGTGTGGTGTTTCACCCCACAGACACTTTTGGCTATCTGGATGTTGCAGCTGGGCACATGGAGACAAGTCCAGGCCTGCAGGAGCTCAGGTCTGCCTTGGCAGAGAAGCTTTAAGGTGATGGTGAAGGAAAAGGAGTCAGTTCTGATGGAGGGTGTGACCGTGTTCACAGGGGTCTGAGGATGAGGGAAGAGACGAGGATCTGACTCCATGTTTTAGAAGGCTTGATTTATTATTTTATGTTACATATTATATTAAAACTATACTAAAAGAATAAAAGAAAAGATTTCATCAGAAGGCTAGCTAAGAATAAAAAAAGAATGGAATGATAACAAAAGCTTGGTCTTGGACAGAGAGTCCAAGCTAGCTGACTGTGATTGGCCATTAATTA